TTTTTTTCTCATTTTTTTAAAATTTCTTTGAGATAGGCTCTGCCTGTAGCTCCAGCTGGCCTGGCACTTGCTATGTAGACCAGGCTGGCCTTAATCTCACAGAAATCCACCTGCCTCTGCCTCCTGAGTGCTGGGACAAAAGGCGTGCATCACCACACCCAACATGATTTCATTTTTTATGACAAAATAAAATTCCCCTGTGTATATGTTCATTATCCATTCATCAATTGATGGACATCTAGCCTGGTTACATTTCCTAGCTATTGTTGATAGAGCTGCAGTGAACATGGATGTTCAGGTTATCCCTCCCTGTGAAACAGTACATTTATTACCTGCCTTTACCACCTTTAAAAACTTATTCTTCAAGAATGATGATAAAAGCCAAAAATACATTTTCAAATTTATCTTCAGTGATGAAAACGCACCATATTTTAGTGTAATTCTGAAATTTGTATATGTGTGTGTGTGTATGCATATATGTATTTATATATATAATGTGTGTGTATGACTTAAGGCAAAGGACTGAAATCTTGGATTCTTTATCTGTCAATAAATGTGAGAAATGATCCACACATAGAGATGGTTTGAAAGTTTAATCAACACATGTATGGAGTCAGACATGGGGGACACACCTGTAATCCTGTGATCCCTGTCCTGATCTCTGTTTTCTCAAGGAAATTAAGTCATACCTAGTAATTATAATATGGTAGACTCACAGATGGTTTGGGAGGCGGGTTCTGAAGGGGTCACACTGAGCTGCTATGCCTTCTGGTGTTTTCCTGGTCATCCCACATATACTCACATGGTCCTGCCTCTAGATCCTGAAGCACAGCCCAGTGTACCTTCCTGAACCATCTGTGACTACTTTGGAAAAAGCACATCTTATGCTTATAAAACACATTCCTTGAGTAAATAAATGAAATACAATATGAAGATCCACGCAACCATCCTAAAACACTAGTGGCTTCAGAACTCTATTGAGGAATAACCACCCCACAAATGTTCCCCTTCTAGGTCATCTGTGTTCATCTCTGGGACCTAAGAGTGATATTCTTTTCTCTTGGACCAAAGTAGGCTTATCAAAATCATTTGAGAAAGAGCTTGGCAGTAAGAAGACCCAAAAGAAAATAGTCACAGGTGATGAACTTTCATTCAAATGTCATGCTTTCATGATTACCTCTGATTTTATATCTATATCTATCATCTATCTGTCTATCTATCTATCTATCTATCTATCTATCATCTTTCTATCTATCTATCTATCTATCTATCTATCTATCTATCATCTATCATCTCTATCTATCATCTATCTATATCCATTTGACACTGAGTCTGACCATTCTTGAGCAAGGACCTGGCACTGATGGACAAGAGCACTTGATAGATAACATCAAGGTATGGTCCTCACTGACATTTTCTTCAAGACAAGAAGGAAAATTTCTAGGTTGAATTTAAAGGCCACATACTTGGGGGTCTGCGTGGAAAGCGCTGCCCTCCATTGCTTTCTCTTCTTTCTAGGTCTTCTTGTTCTGGTTTCCATTTATCACCACCACATTGTCTTCTTAAGAAGCCTCACATTCTGGCCCAGGACAATAAACACTTAGGTGAAGGCTTGTACAGACCCATACATGAGTGTTTGATGATAGATCAGAACATCCTTCCTCCGCACTTCCAAAGGAATTTTCTTCCCTTATGATTACATCTTGGTGCTTACTGGAGAGGAAAGTTTTCTGCCAGCAGTGGCTCAGGAACCTGCTTCTGGCAGAAAATTTCATTGTATTCAGTGGTCTGTGTTTCCAGACTCGTTTACAAACTAGAAAATTTGACAAACTGCAGACCATCTGTATATAGCACTGTGCTAATGAACCTAGGCCTCCTGCAGACATACAGGCTCATTACCTCCAAGTGACTAGTTTACTCCCATATTTATAAACAAGGCTGTCATCTAAGCCAAATAAGTGGACTTCAGTCCTGAAGAATCTGCAGGATGAGAGCTGAGGCAACCTTCAGAAATGTGAAGCCTCTCTGGAGAAGTTCACCTGCTAGCATGAGGTCATCTGGGTCAGTGATCCGAATGTCCTTTAGCTTCAAGCTGTCGGTGCATTGATCCTGTAATGCTAATCGGAACATTTGTATTCCTTCTGTTAAAAGCTTCAGTAGGGATTTCCAGTCCTGCCAACGTCTCATAGAATGCTTTCTGAACTCAGCATGCATGCACGCCTTCATCTTTGCGCAGTGCTGCGTAGAGATTTCCACGCTCCGTGATACTTTCCTCTCACTTCCACGAGAAAGCAAGACACCTGTGTGCCAGCACAAAGAGATTGGGGAGCTCAGGGCAAGGAGAAGGTACTGTATTCAGGGATGGGCATTGAGCCACTGTGTGGCAACACTGAATAGAGACTAGATAATCCCAGGATGGGCATTGTACTTGGTTTTGTGGAGAGGAGAGGGTAGCCTATTCCTTTTCACATGACTTCTGTGAGAAGTCCCTCGTAGGGATGGAGATGGCAATTGGACCCTGACCAGCAAGGACCCGTTTGCACAGATCTCTTGGTCTACATTTCACCTCAGCTACCACTTTCCCATAATTCCTGACACGGAGGCTAAATATCCTGCAAATCTCGAGACCTCTCTAATACATTAAAAGCAAAAAAGATCTTTAAGCAAAAATGAGTTCATTGTCGTTTTTCTGAAACTGAAAGAGAAAGTGCCACATTTTAAAGAAAAATGAGCCTGACCTCATCTCCATGGAAATGAAGAATAGTCTTGTCTTAGTATGCAGGCGATGCACGTGTGTGTCTTGCATGCAGTGCCACCACACTAATTTATATTACCTCCTTAGCCCCAAGAACAGTGGAGTTTGCAACTGGGGCTGAAGGGAGAGTGTGTGCAGGTGGGAGAGTGTGCATGTTTATCTCATCTGTTATAGTGTTCTATATTAGGAGCACTTAGCTCATCAAAAATGTTTTAAACTTTCTCTAAGTGACAAAAGCGTAAATCTAAGTGCAACATGTCACTTTTATAAGCCCAGAAAATATCAGACTGATTTCCTCATAAAGATCTTGCCATCGGTTAAATAAACTATTAGATTACAATAAAAGGCCCCAGTATTTGAAGTGTGCTGACATGTTGATTGTTTATAGACGTAGTGGGATTCATGGACCTCAGTCGTGACATCAGTAGAAGAGTAAGTGTGTGAGGACCTAACATCTGTGGTACCCATGGCCAAGTCAGGGACAGTGCCTGGCAGGGCCAGCTTTGGTGGTGGCACAGACTGTACACTGAACATCTCTCATCATTGACATGTACAGACACTCTTCCCAGGACTATAAAGACAGTGGGCCTGGGCACACCATGCACAAGCAGCCCAGGGTCCTCTGCATCTGCCCCTGAGAAGGTCTCACTTCTACATAAACTCTAAATCTCTCTTATTCATGTTTCATTTTCTGTTTTCAAATAAGCTTTGAATTGAAGAAACATTTTACGGCTAAATATAAATTTGAAAACTGCTGTGCTACATGATAAATGAAAGAGATGTTTTAAAGCCAAAGTGTTTTTTTCTTCAGATTACAAATGCATTAACTGCCAGTAAGAAAAGAACAGTTACCTCTAAGTTCTTAAATATAAATATCTGTACTCTCAGTCTTTCTAAATGCATGTATGTTTGTAACTGATTTTTTGTTTTACAAAGCTATAATGCACTAAATGTACAATTGTGCTTTTTGACTCTCGTGTTTTGTTTAATACCTATATAATGCCGAATTGTATGACTGAGCTAGGGTTTATTTTAACAAGCTCTGTTGTTTGGCATAGTTTCTTTCTCCCCCGCCCTCCCTTCTTTTCTTCCTTTTCCTGGTATGATGAAGTGCTCATTTGCATCCCTCATACTTTCTTTTAGCAAATTCTTGATTACAGTGACAAAAAATATGATAGATATTATTTTAGTTATATAATAAGCATTACTGTTTTAAAAGTATATATTGTTTATTATTTTATGCGCCTCCATGTGTGTAAATACACCCATCCATGTCGTGTGTCCTAGTTTGTTCTTCATTGCTGTGACAAAACACTTCGACCACTACCAACTTGGGGAGGAAAGGGTTTATTTAGCTTACAGATCCCCGGTCACAGTTCGTCCTGGAGCCCAAGGTAGAAACTCAGGGAAGGAACCAGGAGGCAGGAGCTGGAGCACAAGCCATAGAGGAATGCTGCTTACTGGCTTGCTCCCTGGCCCCTGCTCAGCCTGCTTTCTTATGCAACACAGGCCCACCTGCCCAGGGGTGGCACCACCCACAGTGGGCTGGGCCCTCCCACATCACTCATCAAAACAATACCCCTCAGACATGGCCACAGGCCAGTCCAATAGAGGAAATTCCTCAATTGAGGCTCCCTTAACCCAGGTGTGTCAAGAAAGCTATCCAGCAGATTGTGCAATGCCCATGAAGGTCAGAAGAAGTTGTCAAATCCCCTTGGAGTTGCCTGGATCTGGAGTTGCAGACAGTTGTTAGCTGCCATGTGGGTGCTGGGAATCAAATCCGGGTCCTCTGCAAGAGCAGCCAGTGCTCTTAACCATGGAGTCATCACTCCAACCCCAGCTTTACTATTTTTAAGACTATCAGGTGGAGATAAATTGAGGGAGAAAGTTATAGCAAGGTGGACTGATAGGAGTTTGCTGTTTAGAAAGTGTGGCTGGGCTAGGCCTCTCTGTGGAGAGCTGAGTTAGGAAAGACAAGTGGATGGGTCCAGGCACACCTGAGGGAAAGGCCTCTGGGTCAAGCATAAGCAGATTCTAAGACACTGGTGGTAACTTGAATTTCTAGAAGAGGAAGGACGCTGTGTAGGCTAAAGTGGAGTGCGTAGGGGTGTATGGAGGATCTGAGATAGGGAACAGATGGACCCAAGGAAGCTTTCCCTAGCCAGGAAGAACTGAGCTCACTGAAAGATTCTTAGTGGAAAGTTATAGTATCTGTTCTCTGATGGGAGCCCAGTGTAGAGCAGGAATGGAAGCAGTAGGTAGACCAGTTGGTCACGAGTCTCCTGCAGAAATTCCAGAGACAGTGGGAGAGGAATACGTGGTAGGTGACAAAACCTGGGGTGTGTTCCACCTATCACAAGCTGAAGAAACCACACATAAAGACTCTGTGTGTGTGTGTGTGTGTGTGTGTGCTTCTTAAGGAGATGCATGGTGGGAGTGTGTGTACATGTATGTGCAGGTGAGTATGTATATGTATGTGTACATGTGGAAGCCAGGGCATAACGTCATATTTCATTCCTCAGAGGTCAGCCAGGTTGTCTTTTCTTGAAGCAGAATCTCTCATTGGCTTGGAATTCCCAAGTAGGCTAGGTTGGCTAGCTATGAAGGAACCTGCAGGATCCGCCCCTCACTGCCTCCCAGCACTGGGGTTACAAGTACACACTACCACAGCTGACATTTTTTAAAATGTGGGTTTGGGAATGGAACTCAGGTCCTTGTGTTTGTGATCAGCCCTTTACCCACTAAACTATCTCCCCAACCCCAGGAAAATCTTATAATCATTTAACTTAATAGTGGTGAAGAATATTTACTGTTTCATTGTTATGTGTGTCTTCATGTTATTTCTATAATGAACTGTATATCTATTTTTATATCCTATTTACTTGGGTGAGTTTTCAAGTTAAAAGAGAATTTCAGCTTATTTACAATTTTTCCACATATTATTCATGTTGACCTAGTCTCCATCAAATTGTCACAATTGATATAATTTAAGGTATGATTCATGTTTTCTATGAAGTTTTAGTCTAGAGTCATATGTCTCCTTGGTGACTATGGCTTTGTGTTTATCAGGGCTGAGTCCTTCATGAAAGCTGATTTGATTCCCATGCACTGGGCCTCTTGGGATCTGTCTCCTGGGCCACTGCCCATGGGGCTTTGCCTACTATCTGCTCTTTGAGAATGGTTTGCTTATATATGGACAGTCACAGGCTTCTCCAGCCTATGTACCAGCTGTGTGAGGAGGATATGGAAACAGATGATCTCAAACAGGAAATGCTTTCTAAATACTACCTAGAGAAAAACTAATGAATTAGCACTTCAAGCAGGAAATTTACACCAGAATTTCTAAGCTCAGAGAGTGGGGGTGGAGCCCTCAAACATGTTTTTATTGCCTGCATGTATGTAAGTGCGCCCATGTCAGGCATTGCCCTTAGAGATGCCCTTAGATGGTTGTTAGCCACCATGTGGGCACTGGAAATGGAACCTGGGTCTTCTGCAAGAGCAGCTGGTACTCTTAGCTGCTTAACCATCTCTCCAGCCCTAAATGATGGTGATTTTAAAAAATGAATTCTGGCCAGGCATGGCGGTGCACTTTAATGCCAGTGCTCGGGAGGCAAAGGCAGGTGAATCTCTGTGAGTTCATGGCTCTCCTGGTCTACATAGTGTGTTGCAGGCCAGTTCGGGCTACAGGGAGACTCTGTCTTGAAAAGACCAGAAAAAAAAAAAAAATCTGCACCGGGCATGGTGATGCCTGCCTTTAATCCCAGCACTCAGAAGGAAGAGGCAGGCAGATTCCTATGAGATCCAGGCCAGCCTGGTCTATATAGTGAGTTCCAGCAGGGTGGGGCTATGGGAGACCCTGCCAAACAACAGCAACAACAGCAACAAACAAACAAACCCCTTAAAGCTAATTCTGTTCATCCTACAGGAAACATTGGTTTCAAAGGTTGGTGACTGTCTTACTTTCAACTTAGCTTTCATGGAAGATGTAGATTTCCTTTACTCCTGTCTTACCCTTGAAATATAAGATGCAGAAAGAGTGGATACCATGGGAAAGTTGCTTTGCCTAGCACTCAGTACCACCTCTGATGCTCCGTAAATGTTTGTAATATTTGTCAAATGAATAGGTAAACGACTATGAAATCCACAACATTAGAGGGGAATGAAAGACATCGTGTCCTGGATTAGTATTCAGATGTGTCATAAAATGGGTTCCTCTGCCCTGTGCTGTTCTATGATGCTGTGCTTCTTGGGTCCGCGTCACTATCAGTTACTATCCCTCCGGGTTGGACCACAGTGATGTCCACAGGATTCATGGGGTTGGGACCAAGTCTTGCCTCCTACCTCGTGGCCTAGGTAATGGGCTTTACAACTCTTCTTTCCTGTAGCTCTCAGATCTCTTCTTTTGACTTTTTGGTTTTCTTTTACTTTTTCAAATTCCCTTCTTCTTGAGTAAATTTGGGGTAGTGATGACTTTTGGCATCTGAAGACTCATTAATGGAATGGTACCTGGGGAAAATATTGAAGGACCATAATTAATTTCTCATCTGATGAGTAAGCCCCCTTTAATAGGGAACAACGTGTTGTTGTTATGCAAAATTTTATATGATAGATACAACTTATTTGTGATAAATTAGAATTCTTAAAACTTAAAACAACATTAAATGAAGCATCCTATGCTAAAACCAACTCTCAGCTGTGCTAATGGCAGACGTGCAAATGCTGCTTCTCCCTGTGCTTCCTGTGACCTCATTAGCATACACACAGCCATTGCATTCTGTGACAAATTATAGTTTTCATGCGTTGGTTAGATTATTGTTCTTTACGTATGCTGATAACCAGAGCTAAACAGTGCTGTCATGGTGTCACAAGAGATCAAAGATGTTTACATGTAGAGCAGAGGACAATTGGGGAAGGGACATCTCTAAGTCTGGGAAGCCAGAGTGCCTGCTGATCCAGGTGCTGAACATGACACACCTCCAGTGGGGAACAATACGGAATGGGGAGCAGATGCTTCCAACTGTGTCGTCCTCAGATGTGTGAGAAAGAGAAACAGAATAATGAACAGACTCTGACATCAGAAAGGGGAAAGTAGGTTTGCTGAGAGCATGCTATGTGTTAACCAATCAGCGGTGGAGTAACTTGTGGTAAAACGATAGCATCTGTGGGCTCTTCCAGAAGAGAGGGTGTGCCCTCACCCAGAGCCCAGATGGGCTCTGATGAATCTTTGGAAGAGTAATCCAAATTATCATGAGGCTCTTCCAGAAGAGAGGGTGTGCCCTCACCCAGAGCCCAGATGGGCTCTGATGAATCTTTGGAAGAGTAATCCAAATTATCATGAAAAGAGTAATCCAAATTATCATGAAAAGAGTAATCCAAATTATCATGAAAAGAGTAATCCAAATTATCATGAAAATCCAACTCTGGGTAATGCTGAGGGTTAAATGAATGAGTTTTGATTGCTCAAATCATTTCTTAAGTCTGCCTACATTTTCACACCTCTTTAAAAATTGTTTAAATCAAAATACATTGGCATGGAACTGTGCCCAATAATACAGCATTTTCTCAGCACAGAGCACAAGTCCAGCATATGCGTGTTGATTTTCTGTGCTCTATTTTAGATCAGTTTTTAAAATTATCATTATCATCATCATCACCAGGGTTCTAATGACAGCAAATGTCCTAATTGTTACTATCTCTGTTCTGTTGCATTTTTGAAGATGGATCAAAGTCAGTAGGATATTTGAAGGCTTTTCCCTAGTTTCAGTTTATTAACTTGAGTGTCCATTTCCTGAGTATAACCAGATTTACTGAATAAGCAGATGAGACGTGGAATGACAGACCATTTGCCACAGCACTGTGTGTGTTACACCCATTTCTCTCCGACACAGCATGACACCCCATGTTCTACTGCTGGAGGAGAATTCTTATTCTTGTGAAAACTTGTAAACTTTCTTTTCTTCCTGTAGGTGGAATGGCTGAAAAATGAGGAGCCCATTGACTCTGAACAGGATGAGAACATCGACACCAGGGCTGACCATAACCTGATCATCAGGCAGGCCCGACTCTCAGACTCGGGGAATTACACCTGCATGGCTGCCAACATAGTGGCCAAGAGGAGGAGCCTGTCTGCCACTGTGGTGGTCTATGGTAAGACCAGCCCAAAGGCCAGGAAGGGATACGGAGGGCAAACACAGAAACAGAGAGAAAAATGTACTGCATTAAAACTGTGTAGGCTGAGCTGACAGTCCCCAAGGGTCATCCTCCACGGTGTGGTCCTGCTTCCCCATTTTGCAAGTGAGAAAACATCCTCATCACTATGAATGTGTTTGCTGGTCCATTCAGTCTTGGGTTTCCATGAGACAGTCAGTAGCATTTCCAATCTCTTGAGAATAATAAAATGGTGTTTATTCTTTTCCTTTGTGTTTATACTGGAAAGCATCACATTCCTCCACTCCTCACCTCCCCAAGCCCCCAGACCCCCCCTTCCACTCATCGCATAACCACTAGCGGTTCGTTCCTCTCCCTAGCACATGAAATCCACCCAAAACAAACATTCTTGTTTGCTGTCTCAGGTATTGTATTAAAAGCAGTTCCCAGCTATTTAAGTAAAGGCATTTCTTTCCACAGTAGAAGAGCCCTGGGATTTATTTTTGAAGCACTTACAGTAATAGAAATTCAAATGCTGTTATTTTCTTCTTATACTGTGGATGGTCAAGTGCTTTAGAGATCTACTGATGAATTCTTCCTATTTTTAATAGTTTCCTGAAAAACAAACTCTCTAGGTTCCTTCCTGTTACAGAGGAGGAAAGTGAGGGTTAGAAAAGGTGAGGACCACTGCTGCATCCTCCTGGAGCAGTCAGTGGGACACAGCGTCATCTCCTTGTCCCTGATGCCTGACTCACAACACCTGGCACAGTGCCTTGCACATAGTAGGCAATCAGTACAAACCTCTCTCCTCTTTTTCTCCCCTCCCCATTTTTGTCTCTCAGTGAATGGAGGCTGGTCTTCCTGGACAGAGTGGTCAGCCTGCAATGTTCGCTGTGGTAGAGGATGGCAGAAACGTTCCCGGACCTGCACCAACCCAGCTCCTCTCAATGGTGGGGCCTTTTGTGAGGGAATGTCAGTGCAGAAAATAACCTGCACTTCTCTTTGTCCTGGTGAGATATACACAAATTCCCTTCTCCTTATAACCCACTAACACTCTTATGCTGCTGTGAAGCAAGCAGTGGAACCTTCTTTCCAAAGCTGCTCTGGTCCACGGTCCTAGACTAGAGCCTCTGTCCGTGGTGCTGATGTAGAACTCATTGTAATGGCAGGAGCTGGGCGAGATACCTTTGTGCGAGGCTTGTCATAGCAGTGTTTGGCTGGGTAAGCCATCGCCTTCTCCCTCTGATTTTCTCACTGTGGCATGTGTTTTTGTCCAGTAAGCCAGGTGAGCTGCCTTCAAACACACAATGCAAGTACCCAAAACTTAACCTTTTATCGGGTTCAGCTTGGTATTTATTTACAACACAAATCGAAAAAAAATTGTACACTGTGCAGCAGTCTGTATTTTACATTTGGCCTGTGCTTGTAATGCTTTCCAAATAGTAAATAGTACATATGTCTGCCATCAGTCCTTTCGTTCCTTTCTTCCTGGCTGTAACCTCACTGATGCAATGAGAACTAGCTGAAAGGAAGATGACTTTCTTTATGGAAAGCAAGTCTTCCCACAGAGAAAGAAACTGCTCTTGTATCTCACACACACTACACAAGCTTAATGCCAAGAACCCTGGACCAGAGCCTCGTGTCTTTAAAATTTCAAATTGAGTTTCACTGGAAGCGAAGGTGACTGACCAGCAGCACGTTCTCAGAGTTTCATTTTGAACTTGTATTCCATAAACGTTGATTGAGTGCTTACTATGTGCCAGGTACTGTGCAGGACAATTTCACGCATGCATGCCACTTATCTTTCCATTGTTTTTCTTACCCCTGTTTGACAGAAATGGTAAAATGGGGCCATGAGACTTACACAGAGTTGCTCAGCTGATGAACTGTAGGACCAAGACTAGGACTCAGACATTTTTGAGCCACATTCAGTACTTTTTAAATATCCTTATTCTTGACTAATTGCTTTAGATTAAAAATCGCAAGATCTTAACCTATATAAGCATGGTGAGAACTATTCCTAGGAGGTAATGGGGCAATTGCCTCAAACACCTGCTGTAGTCTCTTGGGCTGTTTTTTAATGGAATTAAGTTCAGTCTGATCATTTCTACATACAGTAGAAAGAACCCAACAAGTTCTATTTATATAGGCCCTGCCATCTTGGGGTTTGACTGACCTGTTTTACTTTAACACTGTCAGTATATTTGGGATTAACCTTTTATTGTTTAGAGGCTTTTAGGATTTAAAGGCATTCCACCCCAGCCACTGTTCTAAGCTGTAAGCCCACATGGCAGTGAGTTGACTTTCCATTGTACTGCGTATATCTACCTGTCCAACACTGATGTTCCTGGGCTTTAAGACTGGAAAAGAACGAATAGTGACCTTATTAGCCAACTCAAAGATAGCAGGCACTCAAAGATAGCAGGCACTCAAACGCTTGCCTGAATTCAATCATCAGTCTTGTCCTGAAGTAGCTTTAGTTCTAAAGAAACCAGAGAGGAAAGTTGCTCTGATCTCTCAATTTATTTCTATTGGGATGGTAATGTGTTTAAACTGTGGGTGGGCCTCCTCGAAGCTGCTAATTCCTGATCTTGTTGTTTTCCTTTGAAGTGGATGGCAGCTGGGAAGTGTGGAGTGACTGGTCAGTCTGCAGCCCAGAGTGTGAGCATCTCCGTATCCGGGAGTGCACAGCTCCACCTCCGAGAAATGGGGGCAAGTTCTGTGAAGGCCTCAGCCAGGAATCTGAAAACTGCACGGATGGCCTCTGCATTCTAGGTACCATGGTCTGTTTGGTGTTTTCAATATCTTTGTGTAATGCCTTATATTCATACATTTCAGGAATGATGGCCCAACTGTCCCTGGCTTTAATTACACCATGCAAAGCCCAAGAACCAGGAGGGAGGAGGAAATATGTGGAAAGTGCTGCAAAGTACATGGGTGCATTTTTAATACAGGTGGAGTGGTTTTATTTTTAGTTTATTTTTCTCTGTGCTATGCTGCAGATGGATCCTAGGGCCTTGCATGTAGGCAAGAACTCTAACACAACATCCCCAGCCCAGCTGGAGTGATTTTTAAACATTATATCACAATCTGATTAGTTAATATTTTCAGATACAACTTTTAGAAGCCACTACTTTTAAGTTTAATGAAATTCTGACACTGCTTGCTGTGGGCATTTGTATCTCTGAAGAATTCTACAGAACTTGAAGGCATTTTAATAGCTCTTTGGAGGCCAAGATTCTTTGGTCAAAAAGGTGCTTTGTACCCGTGCCTGACAAACGGCAGAGGATGGAGAATGACCGGCGATGCAGAGTGGCTTTTCTCACATGGGTTTGGCAGAGTAGGAAATGGAATGCTCATTTCTAAACCCCCAGGGCTTGTTTGCCCTGTCACCACACTGGCACTACCTCCAAGCTACTATCTTCCAGGGTTGGAAGGTATTGGAGGATCAGATTGAGTCAAGGAGAAGCAGATTTCAATGTAGCGCTATCTCTTCTCTGCACTGTGACCCTCACTGAGTCACTTAACCTCTCTGGCTATAAGAACCCAAAGTGATAACCACTTTAGTAGCAGAGGCATGTACTAATGAACATATTTGAATCTTACATGGAATAGAATATTTGCTCAATAAGTAATTCCCACTTAGATGAGCTAAGCTGTATTGGTATTTTTGTGGTTCCTTTAAAGTTAGATGCTGGCCAGGCATGGCGGTGCACGCCTTTAATCCCAGCACTCACGAGGCAGAGGCAGGTGGATCTCTGTGAGACTGAGAGCAGCCTGGTCTCACAGCAAGTTCCAGGATACTTGAAGATAGTGGGAGAACCTGTCTGAAAAAGTGAGAAACAACAAACAAAGTAAGATGCTGGAGCCATCTGTGTTCGCTAGAACTAGGTTGCCTACTTGAAATTCCTTAGGTGATATCCAGCAAAAGAATTACCATAGCTTAGTGGTTTGCGATCCTTCAGGAGTGTGTGCTGGTTTTCATTAGGGAAGGTGACACCATGGAGGAAATCCTTCTGTTGGATCCATTTCACTGCACCCATGTGAGTGGGTGCTCTTGAAGGCAAGCATAGGCTAAGGATTGGGTTTTTAGAATAAATCTGTATGGTTCATACATGGCTTGAAGTGGCTAATACATTGCAATCCACATAATGATACCCACAATGCCTTTATCCACTGGTACAATTACCCAGTACCTCATGCCAGACCCAACACAGGGGTGACAGTCCCAGACCGTGTAGCCAAGAGTTTCATTGATGAAATGGCTGTGCTCTCCCTTAAGTGCACAGCCGCTATGTGCCTCTGCAGAGTCAACCGCCCCGCCCCGTTCTCTAAATGGAAAGACACTGAAAACAAACTTGATTGGCGAGACAGGGAATGTGTTTCTGACAACTTCTGAATCATACCTCTAGGGTGTGACTGCTTTTTAAGATTGTGAACATGTTTCTAAAGTGATACAGTTAGGAATGCCAATTTCATGTCTTCTAAAAGATGCTGGCAATGTAAGTAGCTATTTGGCTCCAGGTTCAATTTTAGATAACCATAGTAATAACCTTCCCTATAAATCACATATTGAACTTGGATATATGACTTTGGACTTAATTGACTATGACTTAGTCTGAAAGCTACTGGTGGAAGACAGATAGCGGTCAACTCTTAATGTAAGAAAGAATGGTTATCCTGTGTGTGGATATGCTTTCTATTTGTATTGCAGCACATGCTCGTCTATCAGTTAAGTATGAGTTCTGTTTGTAGATGAAAGGCATTATCAGCATGGAGAGTGGCCTGTCAGGAGTAGATTCCACATTCAGTCTGAGCTGGCGTACTTGTCAACATTCTCCAGATAAACAGAAGCAGGAGGATCACACCTGTGATCTCGGTACTTGGGGCAGTGGTGAGGTAGTGCGACTGTGAGAACATAGACTCCAGAGAGAGGCCCTGCCTCAAAGCACCAAAAAACCAATAATAGAAAGGAGAGGAAGGGAGTGGGAACGAAAAGTAAGGTTGGAAGGGAAGGGACTGGAAGAAGAAACAAAAGAGAAACTGACTCACAGAACTTGAAAGCAGACAAGCCCATATCGCTCAGAGTCAGTGTCACAGTTCAAGTCCAATTGTGAGCTGACTTTCACAGAGCCAGCAAGAACTGCTGTCCCAGATCAAAGGCGGACAGACAGGGTAAGCTAATGCTCTGGTTCAGAAATTGTCAGGGAGGAACATTCCCTCTTTTAGGGTAGGGTTAACCTTTTGTTCTTTGTATGCCTTCAAGTGATTGAATGAGGCCCGGCCACATTATAGAGCTTCATCTGCTTTACTTGGCCAGTCGATTTCAATGTTACTGCCATCCAAAACACTCTCTCACAAATGCTTACATATCTGGTTCTCCGTGACCTAGTCAAGTAGACACATAAAATTACCCATCGTAGATGCAAATATACTTGAGAAGTTCTAAAAGCTTAGTCTTTCCTCCCTTAGAGCTCTGTTGGCCATAATTCAGGCAGTGGATTTAGACAATGTATTGACTGAACAAACCCTTCCCCCGGACCCTAGCAATGTGTGGGCCTAATCACCCAGGATGGATGCTAGAAATGTGCAGGTCTAATCCCCGAGGAACAGGCACATTTTCCTATAATGAAAATAAAATAGCTACAAAGACACTGAACTTTACATTTTGCTCCATTTTTGAGGTGGGAACCTCTGTTAGAGTTCCCCCTATGAGACAAAATCACAACATGAGCCCTGTAGCATTCAGTTTATTCATTCTAGCTAGGTATGACTTTTCTTTTCTAGCATCCTTTGCCTTCATGTATGTAAATTAGGATATCTGAAATATGTTCAAGACCTTATGGGCTACAGTGATCTACCTTTTCAGAGCGAGAAGTAGTAAAGTATGTGAACTCAAAGGAGAATAAGATGTGGTCTGCATTTTGGTGGGAACAGGTTGTCTGGTCATAATACCAGGATATATTGACTTTCCATGCAGAAAATGGATACCACTGTTTTGAGTACCAATCCACTCTATGAAGGAAGCATATGAGCACTAGTCCAGTTAAATGCTGCCAGTTTTGCCGGGTGGTACCATCTTACCACTGGATGCTCTTGATGGAATAGCTGTGCTCTTAGGGTTGCAGTGATGAAAGCTAGTTTTGATTAAAATAGCATTTGGCAAGAGTTTCAGAGAGCAGCAGCTTCGCTGAAGGATCTAGGTCATGTTGCAACGTGGGAATTTCCTTCATCCTAGTTTTTTGCCTTTGTGCCAAACATGACCCTATAGCACCTTCTTTTGGCCGTTTGACAATGACATTGCTCAGCTCTTGGATGACCTCCAATGCTTTGATTTTATTTAGCCTTCAACAAAGTATCTGAATTTCCTCTCTTGTCCCCGAGGCCTCTGTTTCTCCTAAAGACGGAGCTGCCAGCTCTGAATGATCACTTTAATATTTGGCTATGAGTGTTGCTTGGTGACTTGTGACTGAAGCACAGAGCCTTAGAGTGAAGCTATCATAAATGGCCACACGTAAATGCTCACAACAAGAAAATAAATGCCCCAAGGCCTGTGAGACTGAGACTGGTCAGTTTTTGCCAGTAGCAGTGAGTCCAAATCCTAACTGCTAGCATAAATGGACATCCAGTGCCTTTATGGTTGAACATTTCTGTTCCAGGGTTATTGTGGGATATGACTGACAGACTTGTGCCTACATGTTTTCTGAGTTCAAGCATCTGGGCCTTGTAGCTGCCTGACCGTCATCCTCTCCGCTTCCCAACATGTCTCTCTGCGCTCCAAGAATCACAGCCAGTACTAAGTACTCCATGTGTGCCTCATGGACAAGAACAGAAAGATAAAAATGGTGGCTGTCTAGGTTGAGCATGAGGAATAAGAGTCACCTTTTCTCTGGCTTTTTATTCTAGTAGAAAGAGGGAGGGCTTTGGCTTGAGAAAACTAAGTGGATCTGCTTCAGAAGGGATTAGCTCCTAGATATGCCGTGTGACTAAAGTCAGAGAATGCCACAGGGACCTCAAAGAGAGAGGGACTCTCCAGTGCTGTGCGACCTGCAAGCAAATCTGTCCTTGTTGAGACGGAGCACAGGTCACTTCAATATTGACAGTTTGGGAAAGGACAATTGGGAAAAATGGTGGTTTGTTTTCATTTCTGATGGGCACACTGATAAGAAAAGCTTGAATGGATACTTTGGAAGCCACATCTAAGATAATAACATCTATACAATAGTGCTTCAAATAAACATACCCGAGCCACAGTTAATAATCTAACCACATTGTTTATTGAGTCATCCACTGAAATGACCTAGAGAAAGCTCCTGAAAGGTGAAGCTGTAATCACATAAAATAATGGTTGCTTTGTTAAGCATTTTCTCTGGCTCCATTGTTATCTAATACAGTAATTACAAGAGCGCCTTCCCTGTATTTCTTAGGGCACTGAATAAGAGACATTTTAGTCTGGAATAGGTCAGAGCACCGGGAACAACGGTTTTACTGTCTTTTTGCTAGTGGTTTATGCGGACCATCTATTTTGTAAGTAGGATTACAACAGACGGGTGTCTCTTTCCCAAAACAAAACTCCTCAGTTTCTTTCTGTGGGCAAAGATTGAAGAATCATACTGGTCTTAAACTTTTTGTTGGACAAACTCCAATTTCCAAATAGAATCACTGCACAACTGCACAAAGTCTACATAGAAAGACATGAACATGGCATCACCCAGTTATACTAACACGGTTTATTCTTAGGTGACCATGAAGTATCACACTGACTGCATGTTCTT